GCCTTCTGGGAGTTTTGTGATTGTAACTGCAGGACAAATCACGCACTCTGTCTTTAATTTCCTTTCTCTCATTACAGTGAAAACTATCTATGAACATTTGAAAAGAGTCGACAGAGTGATTCAGTGTTTTTACCCCTCTGATGACTTCATAACTTTCACAAGCAGCTACACCCTCTTCCTTTCCTTTCCTCTCCATCTCCCTCTAGATCCGTCTGAGCTCCAGTCTTACCCTCCAAACAGTCATGTCCACGCACACACGCACACACACACACACACACGCGCGCGCACACACACACACGCACGCACACACACACGCACACAACTATTCTGCTTGCCAAAAAGTCTAATCTGATTTACTGAGCCGGAACCTCCATGGTCTCACACACAGAGGAGGAAGCACACAAACACACTTAGAACAAGTAAGGAGATTTAAACTCAAGCCTTTCCATCCGCAGTAACAGGAGAAAGAAAAGTTACATCTGTCACCACGAACAAGCCCATCCTTTATACTACTTTGAGTACTTGTGTGTTTGTGACATTATTTGCCTCATTACATACAAACTGTAGGGTCACGTAGAGCTGACTCGGGGAATGAACAGGCCGAAGAATGCAGAGATACAAAGGCAGTGAATTTGCACCATGAAGAGGTGAATCTGTGTCACATTACATGAACACAAATCTGCATATCAGCTAAAGCATATCAGCTGGGGACTGTGGATTCCCCTGAGAGCAATGATCAACAGTCAACAGTATGTGGTGACAGAACAAGGAGTTATAAAAATACTAAGAAGAGAGGTGAACTACTGAGCATGAACCAGGCTTACAATACTGAAGCCAAGGTGCCACGTAGCAACAGATGATGCTGGAGCATTTTAGAGTTACAGAATATCAATCAGCACGGTGAGACTTTCACAGAGATGGTCCCCAAGAGGCACATAGATATATGAAGCAGCTGCTGAAATGTGTCAGTCTACCCTGCAGCACAGATGGTTATGATCTCCCAAGTTATAAATAAAACTTCGTCGCTTTTCTGTGAGGAAGCATGTGTCAAAATGTTAACATTCAGGGTCTAGTCTGATTCACTGAGCATCTTCAATAACAATCATCTATATTCACAGTCACCAACTGAACAACATGGTGCTTCACAATGAAACGAACTCCAACACAGCAGACACAGACAGCACTCTGTGAGAGTGTCTCTTTTGTGGAAGGTCACTGGGTTAGAAATAACACGAAGGCGAGAGATGCAATAAGAGAGCAGATGAGTTGAAGTAATGCTCAATGACAGCATGAAGCCACATCCCTTCTTCTAGAAGGTCATCTCTCTCTGCTCGCACCACGCTGGAAACAGACACGATGTGTAGCGCAGACACATGCAACACAAGAGAACTGGAACCGGGAACATGTGGAAGAAAGTGGAAAAAGGTTGAGACAAATATGTAGAGTGAGCAACAGACAGATAAAGGAAAGCAAACGTCCTCGAGCAGAGTGACCCAGCTTTTCCTGCCGCTCTCCTCTTTCATCCACTCCTCTCCTCGTGAAAGATGTGTGGGCCCAGGAGCCAGGAGGGACTGTGAGAGGAAAAGACGGAAAATATGCAGCGCTGCCGACGCTTCAAGAGAAATCACATTGTTGTCGTTTGTAGATATGATCCAATGCAACCAGGAGAAAACAGCTGCGTAGTGTTGTGCTTACAGGACAGTCACACATCCTAACGCGTGTTCATGGAGGCACGACATAGGCCTGCTTCTTTTCAATTTCAACATTAGCTCCTGAAAACACAACATCTCAAATGAATACAATATTCTAGCATGAACCTCTGGGTTTAGTGCAGCGCAGGAAACCACAGTCATGGTGAGCTGAGCCACACAAGGTCACTGATGAAAATTAATTATTAATTATTATTAGGAAAGTTGACAGTGTGGGAAACGTGTGGTAGGAGGAGGTGCACAGAGACGGCCGCAGCCTTCAGAGGGTCGTTCACAAAACAGGAACCAGTGTGAAGTGTCTGTTTGTGGAGTCATCTGCTGCTGCTGGTCCAAGTCTACAGTCAATGCAGCCGTCCAGCAGGAGGATTCACTTCATCTTTCTATGTGCTGACATACACAGATGCCAGTTTCTTTACATTTCCTAAGGAGAAACTACGAGGAAGATGAGGAAGACCAACCCAGTAACACTTCAGCCGACTGCCTCCATGCAGTGCCGCTTTGAAGCAGTAATTTGTGGTAAAGGTGAATATTAATAAAGGTACTTTTCAGAATCCTTCTCGATAGATCTTTATGATCGAAACATTCTAATGTGAGACACTCGATTCATGATATTCTTGAACTCTAAACTAGAGATGGCACGATACCACTTTTTTATGTCCGATACCGATATCATAAATTTGGATATCTGCCGATACCGATATGAATCCGATATAGTGTTTTTTAATCAATAAAACTGTTTTTTTAATATCTTGCTGCATTTTGTATAAGTTCATACTCAAGTTTAAATAAACAACAACACTAAAGCTATTCTGTTATACCTGTATGTAAAAAATACACTGCACCCAAAATATTTCATAGTTCAGCAACACTGATCAATCTAATAAACTTAAACCTGCAATCCTCCCTATTCTGGTATTTTAAAGAGTACTTAGCAGAAATATTAAGCAACCTAACTAATAGGGTTGCAAACTCCCAGCAAAAAAAAAAAAAAAAAAATAGGGAACCACCCCCACCTCCACCTCATGATGCTTAATCGACGTAATCAACTTTAATTTGATGCAGTGTGAAAAAAAATGCACAGAAATCAATTATTTTTCAAAAATATTAAATAGATTCAACATCTTTCTTCAACAAAATTGCAGACTGCACAGATGGTACCTTCCCAAAGGAAAAAGTACTATAGCTTACTAGGGTATATTAGACTTAATAGTTACTATATACAGTAATGGACTTCTATTCATTTTACATCAAATTAAAACTTTGGGTGTCAGATAATTATTTATTAAAAGCTCGACATTTTAAATGAGAATAAGAAAGAAAAGTATGTCTTTGTGCCCCCTTTTCCCTGTTCATGCCCTATCGGCCCCCCTGGCTAAACTTTGCTAGATCCGCCCCTGCACAGTTACGTCAGCTGTAGAAAAAGATCCTGGTGTAGAAAGTAATATTAAATAAATTCTAACAACAGCTTATCAAGCTTAAACGTGCTGCTGTTGTTCAGCCGCTGGTTTCCTCTTTCTGGTGCAAAGTGGGCCAAAAACAAACAAGAGAGACGGACTCGCGACAGAAAAGCCGATCAGCTGATCATTGATCAGTTTCATGATTGAAGCAGCAGCAGGAGAGAGAGGGAGGCAGTCGCTCCATATATCGGTTGTTAAGCTTAACGCTGGAATGCTTTACAAACATTCAGAGATGAACTTACACACTTGCTTCACTTCTCTCTGGGATGATGAAATGCGGGATTACCAGCAAGGCTACAAATACACACAGCCGCTCTATCACGTGAGCACACTGCTCCGACGTGCTACGGTTATGAGCCGAGTTACGCCATGTCGCAAGTTTTGTGAGGTGCTTTTTTGATATTTAATGGATCGGATTACATTTTTTATTTCTCTCCGATATCCGATCCAGTAATTTACGTCAGTATCGGACCGATACCGATACGTAATATCGGATCGGTCCATCTCTACTCTAAACCACGTAGAAGATAAAAGGCCTGAAACATTTCACTTTACACACAATGAATATAGAAGGTGAGATTTTATGAGCTGTATATCTTAATGATATTCATCATTTATTATTGTAGTCAGTATTAAAGACATGTATAAAAGTATCATCTGTCAGTTTGTGGTAGGGCTTGATGAACTGCTGGCTCTTTGGACTCATCATGAGACTGAGCACGTGTCCCGACCTCACTGAGGTGGCTCGCATGCGTTTGCTTTTCTATTATTATTGCTTTGTTTTCCATCCATCTACCATCTCTCTACATGCCCGAGGAGTAAGATCCCTTAGACTGACACACACATGCGCGCAGACACACACACACACACACACCCCTTGTTTAACTCCAGAAGCACCTGCAGCCTTTTACCTGTGTAGTCCACATGAACTAACTAACTGAGCTGCTGACAGGAAACCCAATTTGTTTCTTAGCTTCAGTCTTGAAGCCAACTGTCTCTGATCTGTTCAGTAGTCACACTTTATTAAACTGCCTTTCACACTTTTCTGGAACTTCAAAGAATTTTATTTTTAATTGCAATTAAACTTTGATAATTATCAAAGGAGACTTGGTAATCTTTCTGCAGACCTCAAACAAAGCCTAAAATGCACGGGTTGTTGCAAAGACACAACATAGCCATGGATGTGAGACAGGTAACACACTTCATTGCACTTGCAGCTCTGCAACCCTCGTGTGAAATATCAACTCCTGATGGGAACAGAGAAGGCGACTTCTGAGGGAACCAAATAAAGAACTAAATGTTGAATATTCAGCAGAATATGAGGACACACTGAAGGAAAAAGAAGGCGGGGCTTTCTTCTCTGCATTGCCTCCCCTCCCTCTTCTCTCACTCCCTGTCTCCTGATAATACAGCTCTAATAATAGTCTAGTTGCAGCGAGACAATCGTTCAGTGGAATCTAGGGCAGCCACTGCAGAGCCAGTATGGGAAAATCCCTCCTGTCCTCTCCAGCCTGCATGCCTGCCTGTGCGCTCTGCATCTGTGTGGGTGTTTTCAGTTCATGCTGCACAGGAGGAAAGAGAGCACTTGTGTTACATTTAAAGATCTTTATCCTGAAAATCGGCCAACAACTCAGCCATTTCTTTGACACGTGGCCTCCCAAATATGTGTCCCTCGGCATGTGGGAGCCTCCTACAGTGGGGGGGTAATGAATAAATAAAGCCCACTGTGCACGACGAGCTCTGGATAGAAACAGCATACATGGACTCAACATATATGTGCATTCATCATACTGTAAGCTGTAAATTCGTGCTCCTCTGTGACGCGTCGGGTGAGCTCTGGTCTCTGAATAAACAACCGTGACAAACATCTGCACACCACCACCTCTGTGGATGTGTCACAGTGCTTCAGGGCTGTTTAATAATCTGTAGTACATCTTTAGTCACTGTGTTCTGGCTTTATTGTATGAACAACCACAACTGCCCGAGAATTACTCGCTGTCTCAGCAGTGATTCCCTCCAACAAAGATCTGCTTCCTGAATATAACCAAGAGCCGTCAAAGCCTGAAGCTTAAACTGCTTCAGTTCCATGAGAAACCCTCTACAGGCCTTAACGATTTCTCCTTTATACTTGATAATATGCAGGGAAGAGCTTTTGTGCTACAAACATAGAAATGAGATTTGGAGTTGGGTGGGGACGAGGTGCCATTAAGCATCATCTCATTAATGTCACGGGTAAATAGTGACCTGCAAGTTTTTATGTTTTTCCTCAGAGAAGACTCCTGGATGAAGTGAAGGAGTGCATGCAGAGGGTCGGATTCTTCTCTGTTTGGCACTGAGTCGATGCACCGACTGCGTGGGCATTTCTAAACTGATGAACAGAACTGAGCTAGGCTAGACTGGTGCTGTGCCTGGAGACACCAGCTGGGATCTAGTCTCACTCTAGCTTCCATCCATGCGACTGTTTTCTACGTGTTACATAATGACAAATATGGGGGTCAAACTCCAGCTGTTATCAGCTGGAAAGTGACAGTTGTGCAATATTACACAGCCAACAGCAACAACAGTGTGTTTGTAAACCTGAAGTAGTTTGATTACACTCAGTGAGCAAAAAGAAAGAATGAAACCAGTTCAGAGTTCAGAGACACGTGTTCACTGTGCCAGGAACACTGTAAGGCCTGGGTTTAGTTACCGCATCCTAATGGTGAACTTTTTAAACCAGTGTCATCCAGTCAGGGGTTCATTGAGCTGCTAATGGTCCCACGCGTATAAGAAAATAACGTATTCTTCAAGGGTTTATCCCTAAATTTAAATGGAGAGATTTTTCCTTGTGAACTCCTGGATATTGAAAAACAAACCCTCTGCAGCCTCTCGGGGATAACGCCGTCTGTTTTTTCCTCTGTCACATTAGGAAGTAGCTTTAGCTTTAGCAGCGAGGCATTCTGGAGTTTAAGCCAACATGGCACATGGCACGGGCCCGTCACACAGACACAAACTGGCCCAATGTCTCCTCACGAGAGTAAGTGTTTATGCCAGCTGCAGTCTGCACTGTAATAATATTCATGTAAATGACTCGAGCCTTTGGAAGAGAAAGGGAAAAAGAAAGGCTTGTCTGTCTGTGGGTGGAACTATCACAGGAGCAAAAACTTCATTGTTGTCAGGTATGTGTATATGTACATGAATGCAGCTGAAACAGCTGCTGCTGTCTTCACACAACAACAACAGGCTGAGCTAGATCATTTCTTTAGTATGAATATGGAAACACTGGCTGAAACCATGACAACTGAAGCAGAGATGCTTCACACACACCCAAGGCTGGTCGGCCCTGTGCTGTAGTGCCAGGCCAGCTTAATCAGCCGGGCTCCTAGTACCGAGTCATGTGACTGCACCGAGTCTCAGCTGTGTGCGCCCATGAGAAAGGAGGCAGAGAGAGGGACTCTGCTGAGGTAGGCAGGAGTTTCCACACATGCACATACACAGCAAGCTCTGGGGTTGATACAGTGAACAAAGAAGACCTCTATTCAAGTGAGCATTCACAAGTAGGTCTGCATCGAGTTAGAAGAGCTAAAAGTTTGTGTGTGAAGCACGTGTGCTCCAGAAAACAAATCTCCAGCTTACAGACGAACACCCTGGTACAGTTAGTGTTTCCACCTTAAAAAGCACTTCAGCCCTCAGCATAGATGAGTTCAAGTTCGTGTGTTGTTATTTGCCTGCTCATAGTGTGCGCTGGACTCCAGATTGTTGTTCTACTTGGTGTGCAAAGGCCACTTTAGCCGTGAGTTTAAGAGTAACTACTGAGTTTGAAGTAACTCTTGCAGTTCTTCTGTCTCCCCTCAGTAACTATGTGGGTAGGTGTTAATATTTGTGTTAATAAATAAGTTGGAATTATGTTTTCAGACATGAAACGTCAGACTGTTTTATTCTGCTCTGTTTCCCTGTAAATGCTGGGGACCATAGCTGACCGCTTTCACTCATATTTAACCTTCAAGCTTCGTAGGGTCTCTTTGAGTCAGTCCATTGGAGTTAATTCAGTTTAAAACAGGAACAATCAGTTAACTCTGCGCTAGGGCTGGGCGATATATCGAGTTTTTTAAAAACATCGATATATTTTCATACGAGATATAAGATGTGACAATATCGTTTATATCGATATAGTCTATGTTACGTTATAATTATACTTGTGGAGCCGCAGGTTTGCCTCTCTTTCGTCCACTTTTGTCTCTACGCAACGTTACTCAGCCTCGCCTCTCCTTCACTGAGCACAACTCCGCCTCCCCCATAGCTTCACCTGCAGGCAATGACAAGATGAAAGCGGAAAATCTCCGTTAGCGAGTTACCGTGCGTGGGGCTGGACGGCGTCAACGTGTTAGCGAGCTAACCGCGCTAACGGCATGCAGCCAGGAGGGGCTGCACGGCCTAAAATCCTTTTATTTTCTCAAAAATCGACAGTGTGTCGATTATGTATGAATTCTGGTTGTGCTTACTGACCGCGAACCGATTTTATGTGGTACACAGCGCTCAGCAATCTGTCAAAAAATGTTTTAATATGACTTTGCTAAGCTACGGAGCTGCACCGCTTGATGGATTGTCGGAGGATTACGGCTACCGAGGAGGAGCCTCGCGGAGTGATACGTACTGTGTGTGTATAAGGACCACAAATGGCACCTGTTCAGAGACGTGGTGCAGCTGTGAAATCTGTCTCTTTGTTATTATGCTCAGCGTCTATTAGTTTACATTTTGACTGCACAATTGTGAGCTTTTTGTTATGCACAAAAACAACATTGTTTTCTTTTATTTATGGACCATGATTATTTAATAAATGCTGATAATTTATTTTTGAGTAATTTCTTCATGTACATCTACGCTGTATGTAAATAAAAGTGCCCGTGTGACATCTGGGACACAGTGTGACTAAGAACTCTCTTTTTGTTCTTAACTTATGGCTTTAAAAAAAAAAAATCGAGATATATATCTTATATCGCCATCCAGCTAAAAAATATCGAGATATGAATTTTGGGTCATATCGCCCAGCCCTACAGTCTGCGCTGCCGGTCGCTGCAGCCAGCCGTGGAGGCAATGCTCATAACGTATCATTGAAAATCACTTGGTGTCATTCTGCAGCACCACACTGCACTACTGTTGCTTTCTGCCACCACTCTGGAGACATGCAGCCATGAACTACACGTGGGCAGATGTTACTAAGACTTTGGACAAATCCTTGAACATGTGTTGTGTTAGATACTTTATACCTGGCAGTTTACAACAGGTAACACAAAGAAAAGCAAATCATTCAAACATTAAAGCCTTTTGTAACCCGTAGTAATAAAGTGTGTCCAAGGGCAGAGAACAGTTATCTCATTAAAAACACCTGTAAGCGCTCGCTCACATGCTCGGGCTGGGCGCTACCTGCCTGAAATCTGATTCCACACAAACCCTCCCACCCAGCAGGAGGGTGGGAAGCCGGTTTCCACTTATTCTAGTAGTGTAAATTACCATAAATGAACCAGCAACACACACACACACACACACACACACACACAATCTCGTGTTTCATGGCAGAAGACATCAGTGGAGGCACTTGGAGAAATGTAATTGTGTTACTTAGCCCTCTAACCTGTCCTCTGCCTGACCCATAAAACTTCTCTTATCACTTCACTTAGTGGACGAAGATGCTGAAATAATCCAGTTTCTTTTCCATTTGTACGTGAATCCGATACATTACAGCTAAGCAAGCAAGTGCTCTCTGCATAGTTACGACCCAGTAGAAAAAGGATTTCCAGTTAAAGATACAGACGTGGCACTTGTTATCACATGGTGAAGTTAATAACTAGATGACTGATTACCCTCATATGAGCATGAAGGCACCAGCAAATAAACTCAGTGGTCCTGAGAAAAGGTTTTGTATAACCATGACACACACGATCACATTCACATTTAGAGATGTTGACCCACTCGAGCCTGGCAGCGAGCGCGTCACAGCAGTCACCAAAGCGCTGCCCTGCGCCTGTTAAAAATGCTCCGGAGGCTCCCGTGAAAGATAAAATGAAAGTCCTGCATGAGCGCTGAATATGGCTTCTATCTCTGATCTGAGTAAGTAAGACTTGTCGCGGCCTTTTACTTCCAAACACCAAAAAAGTCCAAGAAAAGGCCGTGGGTGGCAACGGGAGGTTTGTTTTAGAACGCACTTCTGACTCCATTGTTTAAAAATCATATGTGGTTTATTTCGTGCAAAATTATAAACAAAAATCAGCCAAATAACTTCTTAAAACTTAAAATTAAACGAAAGTTAACTTAATTTGCTTTAACAACTTCAAAAGTGGTCAAAAAATCATTTTCTAACCCTCCCGTCTTCCCATCTGACATTTGGCAAACAAAAAACGAAAAACCTCTTTACCACACCCATCCAGGGTGCTCTTAATCTCTTGATTAATGGGAGGGTCCATAAGCTAATAAACCAATCACTTTCCAAAAGCTTCTCCAATAAAATTAATTACAAATTTACATAACAAAACCAGGTCAGTATATTCTTACACCTTTAAAGAAAAAACAAAAATGAATACAAATTGCATTTTATGAACATTCAACAAAAATGGCCACAACAAGACTAATAAAGTGCCTTTCCACTGATGACACGTGTTCAGGTAAAGGCTTCTTCCCAGCTACACAGACCTGAAACCATACTGGAGGATGTGTGAAGGATTGACTAACTCTTAAGAGGATTTATCTATTCTGGCATTGACAGCCAGTAAATGTGTGGAAGGACAGACGACACAGCTATAGGGTGTGTGTCTTAACCACTAATATGACTGACACACCTGGGATTTCCAAAAATCCATGTTGTGTTCATTTCACTCTTATTAGCAGTGCATGTGTCCTTTCCTCCTCCACACATGAACCACCGTGACAGCAGCACACGTACTGTTTGAGTGAGTGCCTCCAAACAGGAGTGGTCCAGCAATTAGCAAGCAGCCAGAGACAAGCAGAGGCAAGCAGTGATGTAACGATAGACACATCCAGTGCTGCTGGGTTACATGAGACCGGTTCAAAACAAACTAGTGATTCATGCAGAAGGTTCAGATTTCATTCATTAGAAAAAACAAGTACAATATAAACAGCATGTCTGCAAGCGGAACTACTTCAAGACCGAGTGGAACAAGAACAGATTAGTGCGCAACATCCAGCACAGCAGAAAACTAGTCCCCACGCTGCCGGCCCAGCGCTGATCGGAGCCCGGTGGTTCTCCTTTGGTGTCTGCTCCCTTCAGGTGAGCAGGAGATCCCTCAAGCAGCAGGGTCAACACCCTGAGGTTTTTTGTTGCATCGCTGCACAATCAAATACATTTCATGCACTTGAAAGGCCTTTACTGAGGACTGTCAGTGCGATGGGAGATGTGATTGGTCTGTAATGCTGTTAATGTGGGAAGTGCACGTCAGAGTAACATCATGCTTGAACAAAAGATCCAAAGTTTCCCACTCACACCGTAGCAACAGGAACATTTTGTAGCAGCTTAGAAAAACATTGTTACTTTTTCCATAATTGTGAAAAAGTAACAAATACAGCTACATTCATACAACTGTACACTATATTCAAAATTTGGAGTCACTAATTAAGCCCCCAACCTGTTTTTGACCTGTGGCAGTAAGGCCCCACAATCAAACGGACAACCTGGCTGTAACAGCAGCAGTCTGTGGCTACAACACTACTGTCATTCTCACTGAGTAGTGTAGCTCATAGTCTCCATTACCATGACTGGCATCAAGTAACCGAGACTATATTTACACACACGTTCTTAATATAAGAGGCTGGCCTCACTTCTTCTATCAGCAAATGACAACTTAGCTCCAGTTCCCTTAATCATAGTGACTACTGTTGCAAATTAAGACCTGGACTCGTTTTCATTTTGCTTGTTGCTGACAATGACATGAGACAAAAAACAAGCAAACAAAAAGATAACGGGAAAGACAAGAATTGTCTGTAATATGATCTGATACAGGATTCAAAGAGAGGATGTGGTCACGGACAGAGACCCTACAGATATTCAGCAGAAGCCAGTATGTAGAACATGAGTTGTGCGGTGTGGATGCAGCACGTCTGACAGCTGCATGTCTCAGAAACCGAGCTAACAGCGAGCAGTCCCCACATCAGTTTCTCCTGCCTTCTTATCAATATTTCAAATTGTTCTGTGAGAGACAAGTTTGTGCTCACGCAGAGAAAAACATACACACAACATATGCAGTGTGTTACAGCTGCAGACCTTATAAAGAGCAATGGAAAAACTCGATCTAGTTCTCCTCAATCCGCTCATGTTTCCTGTGTTTTGTTTCTGCATACTTTGTGTATCCATTTGTTCTTATATACACAACACACATCATTTTATTCTAGACTCAAATTGTGTGGTTAATGTTTGTAAGTGTAGTTTAGTATGACAAATCAAATTACAAAGTAAAGCTGTTCTTTTTGTCCTGGCACTGGGAGCACCATGCTTACAATGTTCAACAACGGGCCTTAAACCTTAAGCAGGAGCAGGGTGAGTATTGTGCCGGCTTTCTACCTGCTGTGCTGGATCACCAGAGATGAGCAGCAACTCAGAAGTTCAAGTCTGTGGACGTTCTACTGTTGAGACAGACTTTCTGCTTTCACTGACTAATAAATAGAAAAGTGTTGCGGTGAGCGTGTGTTATAGTGGCGAGACTCACACAGCTCAGCCCTCCTGGGGAGAGAAGCTGCAAAATGAACTCAGTGACACTGCTGCTAAAGCTAGGTAATGGTACACATACACATGGTACACGTCTGTGAATACACTGTGGGAGTAACAGCATGCATTTTCTAACATTTCACACAATCCCTTAACATCTGTTGTAGTAGGGGCAAAATACCTGAAATAGATCCTTCTGCCCACAAGTCGCCCTTTACGGCCACACACTGACGTGCTGGGATCAGCCGACAGCAGCTGTGCTCACGGCAAATAAGATGACAGGAAGTAACAGCTACAGCTGACCAAAAGTACAACATTAACCAATTCAACACAGGTCATTTTATTACGGATTAAACAGTGGATTTTCTCAGTTACTCCTAGTTTTTAATGTAAGATTTGTAAAAAGAATAAATCTCCATCCAAGCTTCACAAAGGCCAAACGTGCCCAGGAGACTACAGGAGATTAAATTATAGTTTATTTGTGTTTACTTTGGAGTACATTTTCAAATGTTTGAAAATCTATTTCTTTGATGGAAATGAAGGAAAAAAATCACTATTTTGGAAATCAGTGAGATTACCGTGACCAGCCTCGTCTCTACCACTTAAGCATAAACGATGTATTCAGATAAACGTAGCCACCATTACAATATGACCACTGAGGTCATCGGGAGGTTGGTGGTTCAATTCCTGGCTTCACCCTAGTCTGCATACTAATGCATCCATCAGAGAATGAATGTGTGTGTGAATGTTAGGAAGCATCGTGTGATTGGGTGAATGCACAAGTTGTGCAAAGTGCTTTGAGTGCTCAAGATAGTAGAAAAGTGCCATATAAGAACCAAAACACAAACTCAGCTCAAAGACATGACCCAACAAACACCCACTGATACTATAAATTTACTATAAAAATGTGAAAGCACCCAGAAGAGTGCAGGTTTTAAGAAAACAAAAAGGGGGACGCAGAAGCAGAAAGCACATCCACTGACAGCCTCTTGGTACATCTTGTTTCCAGGCAGAATTCCTTCTAAAGACTACAAATCCCTCAGTTTTACATCTTCAAGGTTTTGAGATCCAAGATCCTGACTTCACACTGAGACGTCCAATCTGGGATGAAGCAGAAGCAACAATGAAATATCCTGATGAAAGCAAAGGGCCCATTAAAGAGACGTCACCACACAGCTCTGAATATGTGTGCTGTTAGATTAAACACAAACAAGATTAAGCACAACCATCCTTTGTAACAATATTCAGCAAGAGTTATCTAACCAGCCACACTCAGTGTGTGTGTGTGTGTGTGTGTGTGTGTGTGTGTGTGTGTGTGCGCACGTGCGGGAAACCACACGCCCAAAACAACAGACAGTTATGAAAACAGTCCTGTCTCTGGATTCTGTGCAGAGCAGAGAGCTTCCCATCACACAGCTTCCTCCAGCTGTTATTCTAACACCAGCACTATCGGTTGAGTATGAGTTTTGCATATTCTGATAAATGTTATCAGCACTGTAATGATATCTAGCATCATAAATCCCTACAGCAGCTGAAGTCAGTGCGTGTGGTAATGCAACAGCACTGCCTCTCTGAAAAGACATGCTGCTGCAGCGTGCTCACGACCATCTGTTCAACAGCAGACCTAAATAGTACAGTGGTTTAAACCAGCATTTGTATCACATGCACACACACACACAGACACACACACAGGCCGGATTAAGGCTGTTCAGCAGTGTCTGTAATCTGAAATCACTGCACTCCCCCACTGTGGGTTTCACGACAGCGAACAATGGGAGGCAAAAATCAATCAAAGATCTTTCTGTAGCAAAGCAAAGTTCACATAACAAGACAGTAAGCAGAGCTGATGCCTGCTGTATAAACAGAAGGTTTAGGTGTCAGAGAGCCATCAACCATTGACCCTCTGCTTTTTAATAATCATGTAACTAAACATCAGCTCATATTGCGTGACTTTTCCTAAAATGGGTAAAAGTCATGGATTTTGGAGTGTGTGGGACAAGATGGTGGAAAAAAGGAAATGTAAAGAGTTCCCCACTCGCCCTGTGGGCAGTCTTTGTCCACCAGAGGCCTGGGAGCTTGAGGGTTCTGCACAGTATCTTTGCTGCTTGGTTATGGTGCTCCATGTACGCCTGCTAGCATCTTGCACCCTGCTGTGATGTGCTGGGTTTTCTCATGGGCATCTTTGCACAGCCTGCACCCGGCTCTTCCCTGGTTGGTAGACCCCTGCCTTCATCACTTTTGAGCTTGAGCTTGCTCCTGCACAGCCGTTATCAGCTCCTCTGTCCTGTCTCTTAGGCTACGTCCACACGTACACGGGTGTTTTTGAAAACGGAGATTTTCCGTTTTCGTTTTAAAAAATAATCCCGTCCACACATAAAGGCAGAAATGAAGGAAAACGCTGCTATGAACATGCCAAAGCAGCAGGTGGCGCTAGATTCCTAACCGTGCAGAAATGTTGGCCAATCAGAAGTCTAGAAGCCTCGGTGGGAAAAAGTAAACAAAGCTGGGGCATAGAAGCAGAACCAAGCCGTATGTGTGGACGGACAGTAACTGTGTGTATATGTGTCACAGTCCTGGGTCTCCTGACTCAGCGTTTTTAGTTCCTTGTGATGTTTGTATTATTGTACTTGTGTGAGTTATTCGATGGTTTCTAGTTTCGATCCCTTGCCCTTCATGTTTCTCTGTGTCCCCTCTGTTCTGTGTAGTCTGTGTCGGCATGTTTGAGTTCCCCTCTGTGTCTCTCGGTTCTTAGAGTCCTCTGCCTTATGGTTCATGTCTCTGTGTTTCTTAGTTGCTGTCTCCACCGTGTCAAGTTTGCGTCTCTGTGTGATACTTCCTGTTTTACTTTGAAGGTCCGTGTCTTATGTGAATGTGTCCTGCTTTGCTTGTCTCGTCAGTCCTG